CATCGCTACCAGGAGCATTCCTACTACTAGTAGCAAGACGCTACTAGCATTGTTTTGGCCCGTGGACTTGACCGGGCGAGCACTGTGAAAGACGATTGGTTGGACGACATCGTGGGATGAGGTACACCTCTGGCAGCACTGGAACGCCCAAAGGCTGGGTTTGCACCACGTGGACTGAATGTGTCACTTCGGCAAACAGATATATGTTAATAAACATAAACTGTAAGCAAGTGTTGGTGTACATTTTTGTATGTATATAGTACCTCAGGACCCATGTGTGCTGATGCCCCAGTCTGAGAGTTTGTTTGGTGAGGTGTTTTGGTACCGCGGCGCGGTGTCCTGAAACTCGGCTGCCCAAGTGAGAGGAAGTCAATTCTTGGAAACTTGAAACCAGTTGTGGGGTTCTAAGCCTCTAAGCTATTCTTGAGATAGGAACTTCGCAAGCGACAGCCATGGCCATGCCTGCTTGTTGTTATTTAAGTTTGTGGAGGTGACCCGCATGTACTTTAATGTAGACAAATCACAATAAACTCCTCTGGGGAAAGCATTGCCGAGATGATGTACATCATATAGCTGGGTGATCTGAGGAATGTTCTGCACTCCTTTGATGCAATGGTCAGGGGCTCCTCGGAGCGCGGAGCTCGGAAAATCCTGGCCACAACCACCTATTGTAGCATGGCATGCGAGGGAGTTGGCTCAATTAGCTGCTAGTAGTGAAGGGATAAAGTAGTAGCGATCGGGTGCAGAAGGGCTCAGCATATTCAAGGAAGAGGGCGGGGGGAGCTTCCTCTTGAAGAAGCCTGAGGCTTATATATATATATATATATGTATGGTTCCTGAGCCTTGATGATACTGGAAACCTATTAGCCTATTGGATGGGGGGGGCCACACTGTGGATTTTCAAGCCTCAATGGGAGGATCAGGGGTCAATCCCGTGCTTGTCGTCTCCTTCATTTTTCTGGCAAGTGAGGTTTCGACATCTCGGTTTTGGAGATCTTTTGGCCACTTTGCTTCGGATTCTCGCTCTTCCTGGTGTCCGTGACCTGGTCGCAGGGTGAAACGATGTGAAACGGTTGGACATGTGCTGATTGCACATCAAGCCGCAGGCCAACACCGCCAGGAACGGGCCGAGGCTGGCCAGGCTGCTAGAGAGCCAGGCAGAGATGCAACCATAGGGTGCAGCTTTTCATTGGACATGCCTTGAGCACAGCGCATTTGGACTTTGGACTTTTATTGGCACATTCTCTTACATCTGTGACTTTTTGACACCAAGTGAAATCTCAATTTGCAGACTTAGCTCTGGTCTTTTCGCAGGGTGCCGATTTACTTCAGGGTACGCCAGCTTTGTGGCGCTCTTTGGTGGCTGCTGGCTGGCAAGGCCATCCAGGCGCCTTGCATACCACTATGTAGAGCGATGAACGGATGGATGCCATACGATCAAAGTAAACCAACCCATGTACTACTGACGGCCAGCAACACACACACTTATGGATATGCGTACTGACGTGACAGCGGTGCCACACGCCGGCCTAGGGTACCATTTCCTAAGAGTACAAGTAGGAAACCACTGGAACCTCAGGGTCCTGAAACGGAGAAGTGGCCCAAAGCGGAAGAAATCAAACGACGATCACGGGTCGAACAGGATGACGGCGGGCCGCTCGTGTCTGCCAATGCATTAGCCCTTTACCAAAATCTTAAAATTCAAGCAGGTACACAGAGCTGATCAGGCCCTGCTTCCCAGATGCAAGGTAGTTTTGTTAGGCGCAGTCCCTTGCATCTGCTACGCCCCCTGCTGAAAAAAGAAAACCAGCAAACAATCCAAATGAATCCCTGTGATTACAAGGGGTACACACACACACGCCTCCCCGAGGGGAGGCGAAAAGCACTAAGGTCAGGGCAAAAGCGTGAGTGTGCGCGCAGTAAGACAAAAGAATGAAGACATGAAGAGGAGACAAGACGGGACAAGAGTCTGTGTGGTTGCAATGAAAAGGAACCAAGTGCACAGGAACAACCGATGACAGCCCACCTCATTGTAAAAACCTGGGCGGCCTGAAACCTGAATTGAAAGTAGGTTGTGCATGTACACACTAAGGGCCGGGCAGTGTGCACGCAAAAGAAAGAAAGTGATGAGATTGACACGACATGAAGCAAGGGAAGACATGAAAGAAAAGAAGAAAAAAGAATGTGTGAAAAGGGGAAAGGATGAAAAGGGGAGCCAAATGGAGGGGGCCGGAACCGATGAAGCCAAACCTCATTACAACGACCTAGGAAAACCTGCCCCGTTTGAATGTACACGCTGTATGTGCGCCCAAGGTCTCGACAGGTTCCAATGAACCTTAACTTTGCTTTGATCGCTATGGTCACCTTGTGCCCTGCCGAAATGGCTGGCTGCTTTGACCGCTGCGGTCACGTAAAGGCATGAGCCAATTTGGAATTCCAAAAGTGAGACAAACATCCAGTGAGACTGAACCAACTACTGTCCGCTGCGGACACGTACAACTCCAGGCAGGGGAGAGAACGACAAACACCCGTTCGACGGGTCCACGGGAGGCACTCTACGGGCTCATCCCGGGTTGGCACAAGGCCAAACCTGACGTGACAGCGGTGCCACACGCCGGCCTAGGGTATACCATTTCCTAAGAGTACTTCCACCGTACTCGTTTCGGGGTTGTTTGTTGGGGGATCTTCATTATATTTCCCCCGTAGCCATTTTGGCTCAAGTGGACTTGCATTTCTAAAAAGCTTTGGTGTTGCATTCTCGCTTCCATAGGAGGTGCCCGCCTGCGAACGGCGAAGCCTCATTGCGTGTTCACGGTCATGGATTGTCATACATGTTGCATGGCATTCACGGCTTTAGTTCACATCGTTTCAGAGTCATGTCAGGCATTCATTCAGTTTGTTTTTGCTTTCTCGATTTAGTTGGGCCGGGTGCCATTGCCGCGACCGCGCTGTGTCGACCTGATTTGGGCTCATCCGAGTGGTGCTGGCCTTTGCTTTGCGCAGAGTGTGAAGCGATTTGGGTTCTTCATATTCAGAATTGACCGCTTTTTCACGTTTGGTTGCATCAGTCGTGGAACTTGAGCTAGCTCTTTTATCAGCACTTTCCATTCTTGGAGAGCGGTTGAACTTGCAGTGGCACATCTCCGTGGCCGGAGCCTCGCAGTGGGTAGCATTTCGTTGCATCAAATTGCACACATCTTAGTTCGGTAGTTCATTTGAGGGGATCTCCAGTTGGTCCGTTTGAGCTTCTCTTGTCACTCCTCTTTTTTGCAGAGCTTCGAAATTTGATCGCTTGCAAGTGCAGTTTGGCCGTGGCCTTGGCGTTACATCATGGCAGATAATCCATGGGATGTTAATAGTTGGCTCTTTGATACTGCTTCGGGCCCTGGGTCTTCTCGGGAGCTGATTCAACCGTCTCCCAAAAGAGCGAGCAGTGCACCACTGCCACGTCCGGCTTGCTTCGATCGTGATCGCCCTCGTTTCGCATCGCCTTTTCAGGTTCGCTCGACCACTTTGACATCCCAGCTGTCAGAGACAGCTCACCGGTCATCCAGGCATTCGGCAGTTGGTGCACCGATCTCAGAGCTACCAGTGGGGGGACTTCCGCCTCCAATGCATTCATTTGGAGTCCACTCACATGCAGATCAATTTGATGTGTCCTTGAGTGCGCCCGGATTAGGCCCCCCTTGCATTTTGCGTGATACTCCATTGAGCTTGAAGGAACCAATGAGTTCTGCATCGCCGGTTGTCATGTCTCATTCAGTGAATCCTCACAAACCTCTCCCAGCAGTCGCACCAGAATTGCGCCGGGGCTTCAAACGTGATGCACGAACTTTGCATTCCTTTCAAGACCCGATCAACTTGGGACGCGTTCGCATCACAGCCTCTTCTCGAGTGGTATGGACCTTGTGGGAGCAGGTGGCACCAGCAGTGCATAGAGTTTCAGGTTTCATTTCAGTAATTGACTCCAGTGCTCATTCCGTGGAACACTTGAGCCGTCTCTTCAACCGGTTTGCGGCCACGACCTTAGTGAAGTACTTCTCAGCTGTTCTCCAATTTTTGACACTGTGTTCTAGTATGCATATTGCTTTTGAGACTCTCAATGTCATTGAGCTTGCTGATATGCTTGTCACATGCAACCTGGCCCAAAAATCAGATGGTTCCGGACCAGCTCACTCAACCACGCTGAAGGCGCTTCGCTGGATGCATCGGCGCTTGGATATTCGCACGCTCGAGATTTGTTTTCACCCCGTAATTCATTCCTTCATGACCCAAAAGCTTCCAGCCAATCGTCGTGATGCTCTCCCGCATTCGCTTTTCGTTCTTTGCCAGTGGGATCGCAGGGTATTACAGCAAGCAGCCTCGACCCAAGAGATTGTTATTTTGGGAGGATTCATTCTTTTGCTCTTTAGTGGATTGCGATTTGGTGACATTCAGCGTTGCCATCTTTCTACATGGATGCTGGATGACTCCAGTCTTCGTGGCCTCACGTGGCGGGCCAAAACGTGCAGTACTTCTACCCCGTGGGGGGTGGTGATCTCCGGTTTCCTGTCAAAGGGATCATGGACATGGGTCCATCGATACTTGCAATGTCTTGATCACCTGTACTCCTCTTTGGACCAGGAAGCGATTGATTTCGTTTTCCCCTCATTCACGGAGGATGGAAACTTGGTATGGCCCCCTCAGGCCATGACGCATGGTGAAGCATATTACTTTTTGCGGAAATATTTACATCTCCCATGGAAACAAACTCCTCTGCAGCTGAGTGATCAGTTTCGATCATACACGATTCATGGTTTGAAAGCAACCCTGATCTCGTGGGCAGCTCAGTGCGAAATTTCCGAAGAGTATCGGCGCCTGCACGGTAAGCGTAAAGGTGGTCTCACTTCAACAGGTCTTTATAGTCGTGACGACGTTTTGGGTTCTTTGAAACTGCAATCGCAACTTGTCCGAAGGGTGCAGGAAGGGCTGGAAGAACCACCCTTCCAATTGGAGCAGTATGCCAAAGAGCTTCCCTTTTTGACTTGGTCCTTTTTTCGTTTCAACCGTCCAGTTCTCGAGATTTTTGAACTGCCTTCGGATTCTCCGCCCGAACAGGTGGAGTCATCATCGTCTTCAAGCAGCTCTCAATCCGATTCAAGTGATTCTCTTGCCAAAACAGATATTATGCTCACACGCAGGGTGCAGGAAAGGCATTTCGAGCGCTGGAGCATGGCAATGCGATCTCACCGGATGAAAAAGGGCCCGCGTCTCAGCGTAGCTTGTCTCATGTTTTGATTGCAGCTTGCATTGATCGCATTTCTTTGCATTCTTTGCCTTTTTTTTGGGGGTGCCCCTTTTTAAGCGTCACAAGCTCCCAAAAACCAGTACAGCAAGGGCAAGTGAACTAAGCAGTTCACATGCGTTGCGTATGGGTACCTTCGCGCAAGGTCCCAATTTTTCATGAAGTTTTGAACCTGTGAGGTTCGCGTGCTTATACCAGTTGTACCGGCGTGCCGGACATGCGTTCGTTGCGGCCAGACTGTGCCCATTCATTCCGTTTGCGACCTGTTTGGTCCAAGCGTCATGGGGTGCGTGACTCTCAGCGTCGGAGGCATGGCATGTCATAATGATATGGCGTTGATTGCGCATTATTTTCAGACGCTATATCATGATCACAGCATAGGATACTTTATCATTTTTCAACAACCCACAGATATACTCTCGGATTCATATCATAGCTCTTCTCCCCTAGCGTGCTTTTCACGGCCTCCTTCATGGCTCAGCCTCTGGCTGAACTGCTGGCACGAGCCAATGTCCAGCAGACCTTCATCGATAAATTGATCGAAGATGGATGGACCACAGAATTGTTTGCAGTTGCAGCTTCTTCCATAGATCAGTTTGATCAGGTCCTGCCGGAGATTTTACGTCACCTCGATCGGACCCTCACTCCGATTCAGAGGGCTGGATTCAGACTTGCTTGGACACGATGTCAGGCGCCTAGTTCTCCAGAACCCGCAAGCTCCAAACCCACACCGGATCCCTTGGAGGCGTCAGCCGTATCAGGTAGCTGGTCGGAAGCTTTTGCACCAAAGTTGAACTCGAGTGTAGTCGCGGAGCTGAAAGCAAAATTCAAGAAGAACTATCCGGCTGAGATCTTAGTTGCAGAGAATACTCCAAGCTTGCGACTGCTCTCATTAGTATACCATCAAAAAACGAAACAAGAGTTCAAATGGGTGCCTTGGAAGTTTCGTTTGAGCCAAGCCCGCAGTGACGATATCGCCAGCAAATCCTCCAAAGTCCCAAAGGCCGAGAGCCTACAATTGCATGCGTTGATCATGGACAACCCCCCAGAAATCTCATTGAAAATGGGGCTATGGGCTTGCATTCGCTGCGTCAGCTTTTTGAGACTCATAGCATTGCATTGGCTACGGTAGAGATTGCACATCTTGCCACCCTGAAGAACTACTATATGCGTTTCTTGAGTCTCACGTCAGCCAAGCTGGATGCCGAGACAGGCCTCCGGAACCCAACGATTCTTGAGGCTCAGGCGGCAGACCGCCAGTTGACTTCGCTAGTCGGTGACTCAGTGGCTGAACGTTCTTGGACGTATGATGACGCTTTGTATGAGATCACCCATGTTCGTGCAGAGCTTCATACTTTGCTGCAGCCTCGCCCACGCTTGCCCAAACAACCCCCGACGAACGTCCCGGTTCGCTTCGAAGGCAAAGGGGATCACTTTCATCCATATAGCAAGGGCAAGGGCAACAAGGGTGCAGGTCGCGGTCCTCCCAAAGGGGGCAAGCCAAGCGGCAAAGTAGCTTGGGTCACAGAAGCAGTGGTGAGCGGGGAACGCAAAGCACTTTGCATGCGTTTTCAGCTTGGGCGTTGCAATCTGGGTTCCAGTTGTCGTTTTCATCACGGTTGTGCATACCCGTTGAGTTCGGGTGAAGAATGTGGCAAGAACCATGGAGCAGTTCAGCATGAACGCACGCCACACTGACTCCCGTCGCCGCCGTGTCCGGAGGATGGCTCTTTGGTCGACTTGCCCACAAGTGCTCATTCTCCAAATTGCCAGGTGGAAGCAGAAGTTGAGCAGCCGCCCAAATTGGGTGATGCACCTTCACGTGCTTCGGACGTACCTCGCGAAGTGATGGTGCCCGCCAGTGTTTCACAGACTTCAGCATTGAATTCATCTCCCATCCAAGCTTGTCTTGAATTTTCAGGTCGGATTTTCATGGACATTTGCAGTGGTTCTACTCGTCCTCTCTCTTCTGCCACGTTGGCCTTGCAGTGTGACACATTTTCATTTGATTTGCTTTTAGATGATTCACATGATTTGTTGAACAATGAGGCATATGAAGTGCTTTTGCGCGTGGCTGCATCGGGATCCGAGGCTTACGCCGCGGCCTCCCCGTCCTGCCGAGAATACTCTCGCCTGAAGCTACGGCCGGGTGGCCCTCCGGCTCTCAGAACTCCGGACGCCTTGGATGGTGTCCCAAGTCTTTCAGCCACGGATCTTCTGAAAGTGCAGGAGTCCCATCTCATGTTCGCTGCGTGCAGTTAATTGACGTTACTTATATTTCAGGAGGACATGGTCACTTGGAACAACCGTTATCGGCAATGAGCTGGCAAGAGCCTTGCGTCCAATCTTTTCCTGAGCGCTGTCACTGCACTTGCACGGCAGTGGCGGCCTGTGCTCATGATCGCGACTGGTACAAATCTTGGCTTTTCGCATCTACACTCCCTTCGTTCGAGACACTGGGGAGTGTTTGTACTCATCCTCCTGGTTCGCACCAGGACATTGCTGGACGTTTGGATCCCTCTGGCCAATTCGTGAGTCGATTGACGGCGGAATATCCGAAAAGCCTCTGTGGGGCAATTGCGCAAATTCTCTCACCCCTGGTTTCGCATGATTCCCATGATTTTTCTTTGCAACAACTTGATTCCTTGGTTCCCAAGAAAGCAGTGGAGGCTCCGCCCTTTGCCCGACAAGACGGGGGCGGTTTCGCGTCTCAGGCAGATTGGAGCAGTTTCCACACCCCTGAGGATTCTTTCCAACAGCTGCGCAGCAACTGGATGAACCATGCGGTGACTCACCGGCTGCACAAGAAGGTGGAAGCCTCTATTGCGGCAGGTCATGATGGCCCTCCTTTGTCAGATGCAGACTTGTTGCCACTACAGAACATGCTGGTTGCATTCTTAGAATCTCAAGGCCAGATGGTCGACTGGACCATCAGCCCGGATCAGCCTATGCATTTACACATTCTGCATGCCATGAGCAGGCATATGAATGATCCCGATGTGGCAATTTTTCCATATTTGTTCGGTGGTGTACCCATTGGAATCGACACGACAATAGTCCCATCTCACTGTTTTCCTTTGGTTGAGACCACAGATTCAGATGACAATACATTGCTTTTCTATTCATCATTGCAATTGGCAATCAGCAGAGAATGATCCCGAGACGGTACAGGAACTGATCGACAAGGAAGTTCAGGAAGGCTGGGTTGAAGTCTTTGATGGATCACTTGAAGACGCTCAACTCCGTTGGCCCACTGGCGTGGCCATTGGCAAGCTAGGGTTGGCGCTTTCCGACTCGCGCCCTCCTCGCTTGGTCATGGACTCTTCAATATGTGGGGTGAACTCTCGTTGTCACATTCCAGAACGTTCGACCCTGCCGACAGCTCGTGATGTCTTGGGCTCGTACCCCCTTCGCAATTCCAATGATCGCCTGGATGGCTTTTCTTTAGACATCAAATCAGCCCACAAACGTATAGCAGTAGCAGAAAGATATCGGGGACTTCTAGGTTTTCAGTTCCGTAACACTTTGTATTTTTACAAAGTATGTCCCTTCGGTGCCACATTCTCGGCACACTTTTGGAGCCGTCTTGGAGGATTCCTTCTGCGCTTGTGGCATCGCCTCGTTTGGTTGCCTCACGCCGGATTTCTCTATGTGGATGACTTTTACATGTTTCAATGCAAACAGTTGTTGTCAGTTTCTGCAACCCTCATTTGTGCACTGTGTTTGATTTGCAAGATTCCGGTTTCCTGGAAGAAATGCGAAATCGGTCCAACCATTCGTTGGATTTGCTGGATTCTCAACGTCAGGATTGGAATCATCATGATTCCAACAGACAAACGCCAGAAACTTGCTCAGTTGTTGAAGAAACTCAAAACTTCATCCACCACTTCTCGAAAAACACTGGAACAGTTTTTAGGTTTGGCCATGTGGGTCACACAAGTCTTTCCGCTTCTTCGGACTTGGCTACATTGGTTGTACAAAGCCTTGCATTCCATTCCAGCATCTCATTATAGCATTAGTCCAGATTTGTGGCCCCGCCTTTGTGATTTTCTGACTGATGATTTGCATTTTCACACAGTGCCGCCTGGATCGGCCATTCCTCTTCGTAGCCACTTGATTTCAGTGCGACATAGAGACGTGTCTACCAAAGCAGACATCCGCACATGCCACGTGCGGGACCGACGCATCTGGCTTAGATTGCGAGACGCAGATTCATCTAAACGTAAAGTCAGTTCCGATTCTTGTCGAATCTTAGCACTGTTTGATTTGTGGCTTCGAAACACAAGTCCTATTCGGTCTATGTGGCCGAAAGCACTATGGACAGGGTACTGCGTTGCAGATGCCTTTGCTTCCAACTGCCACGCTGGCATTGGAGGTTTGATCAGGTTTCCATCAGGTATGATTCGTTGGTTCAGTCTCCAACTCAGTTCAGCAGACTTTTCGAAATTGCAGATTCCTATGCACACTGATTTGCAGAAAGATATTTCTAGTTTAGAGACACTGGCTCAACACGCCTTGATCTTTATTGCTTCTCGACTTCAGCCAGGTCTTCGCGTGCCGATTCGGATTCCCTCCTTATCCGATAACACAGCAGCAGAATCGGTCACAAACACGCTTTTTTCAACCAGCATGCCATTAGCATTGTTTCTTGAAAAGATTTGCATTCTTCTTTCCAGTTGTGGAATGGAAGTCGACACGTCACATATTGCAGGCCATGACAACGATCTCGCTGACAAGCTCAGCCGATGGGACGGGATCGGCCAGGTCCCTTTCGATTTGCTAGTTTCAGACAGGTTCGAAGTTTCACTTCATGAATTGTGGCTCGGGGCACCACGTGCCCGCCTCCGTCGGATGTACAGATCCCTTGGAAGTTTCCCTAGAGTGTTCTTCTCTGTCTTGCTGGATAATGTCACTTTTTCTTGGGGTTTCCTTGGGCGACCTCATCCAAACGTAATCTCATATCTAGCTATAGCTTCGTTCGGGTATGACAGGCCCATAGCTGAAATGAGATGCAAACAGGCATCCA